GGGGAGAAGTGAGGGGGCGGGAGCCGGGGGACACAGGCAGGGCCCGTGGGCTGGGGGCACTGGGCTGCTGCTGGGGTCAGCCCCGCATCGCCCGATGGGACCCCCTGCCCCTGCTCGCGCCCGGAGTTGCAGCCCGCCGGCCCTGCTGCCCTCCCCGCCACGCAGCGCCCTGAGCCGGGGTCTCGGCGTCCCCTCGCGCCGCGCGTCTGCAGCCCGAGCGCGGCTCCTTCGCCCGGAGCGCTGCCATGGGACGCTGCCTCCCATTGTTCCACGGCTCCTTAGGAGCTGCGCTAATGCCGAAATAGCTCGCTGCCTTCTCGGGCTCTCCGAAGTGTCACGCTTCCCATCCATTGTCCTGACAGCCATAACATGCCAGTCAAATGTCAACAGCCGCTCGGTGGGTGATGCAGAGGCAGCTCGGGCTGTCTCCTCTGACTCCTGGCAGCAGACAGGTATATGCCCCAGAAGGGCGCTGTGCTCGCTGGATCATGAGTGCTGGGGGCCCCGCCGGCCCATTTACATTGTTCTTAAAGTATGGTACTCTGCTCTCTCTCTCTCTCTCCCTCTCTCTCTCTCTCTCTCTCTCTCTCTGGCACCAGCAGGCAGAGCCCAGAGCTCACATCGCCTGCTCCCCCTTTCTTTCTCCCTGCTTGGTTTGTAATTTATTTCCAGCTGTGTGCTCAGTGCAGTGCGGGATTGGAGGCAGCCGGCCTGAGCTGCTTGTTTACAGCTCCAGTAGACTCAATACGGCCCAGATCCCCCTCTGACTTGAGCACAGCTAGGGCCTGAATGCATAGAGCAGAGGGTTTCCTTCCAATCTGTGAAGCAAACATATGAGCCATCCTCTTTGTTGTTGTCCCAGTGAGCCCTTACCAGGGAAGCTGGGCACCATCATGTTAGTGCCAGGGCTGGTGGGTTGCAGGAACCCTGAAACCTCATTCACTGTGTGCTCGTCTTTCCTGCACTGGAGCTGGGTCCTCAGGACTTGAAGGGAGGCATGACACTACCAGGATCTTCATTCTGCCCCCA